GATCTTCGAGATAATCTTCCGAAGATTCTTCGAAAGATATTCCGAAGATCTTCCAAACACGAAAATTTTTCTACCCGGGTAACTTAATGTTTGTTTTTTTTATTATGAAATGTGGAAAAAATTTGCACTTGTCGCAGAAAATAGAAAAAGTATTTTAATTCAAATTTTATGTGACGCGATATGCAATTATAAATTTGTACTCAATTGATTGAAAAATTTCTAATTGGTAAAAATTTCAATTTCAATACTTTGAATATATTTGAATTTGTTAAAATTTTATTCCAACAATTCGCCCGACTCCATAATCCCAAGCTATTTCCGAAAGGTAGGCTTAAAAAAAGAGAAATTTAACTGTCGTAATTTTTCAGTATTTATTTAATCAAAAATCTTTAAATATTTACTGCGAAATTATGACGTAACAATCCTGTAAATATTGCAGTTGGAGCGAGAGGCTCCGTAGGGATTTTGGTGAAGTTGTTGCCTGGACATTAGCGATGCCCAGGGGCCCAGAAAAGAAACGGAGGCTCGAGTATTGAATAATTATCTCTGTGAAAGACCTGGCCAGAGCGATAGTGTTCTTCATTATAATTTGGCAGTTGCCGTGAGTAACAGATACATTCCTCCCTTTCCCAGTTATATTTTCCCGGAATATTATCTCCTGAACGGTGAGCCTACACACATTTTTGCCCCTAGACACGACTAACTTCTTCCTTCCCGTATATCATTCTAGAGTCATCCCCTTTTTTGCGTCTACAAAAAGAGCCTGGCCTTAACCATTTCCTAGATCAGTATTTCAAGGCAGTAAAAGAGGTTGTAAATAAAGTATAACAAAGTAGAATTCAGAATATATTGGATAATATTGTGATCACAATTGCTTCGTTATCCCAGTTATTTGATTGTCCTAATCCCCCATTTCAGGTCCTAAAATTACGATAAGCCCCCAAGATAAGTAATCCGCCTTTTCAGGTAATTATATTTCTATAACTGTTTTAATATATAATAAAATCCCCCGTTGCAATGCATACATACATACATACATACAGACAACATCTAAAAAACGAATATTAGAACTTTTTACACCGTATTTAGTTACCCGACACATTAAAAAAAACAGCTGAACTGTATCAACATGTGAGGGCAAATGAAGACCAGAAAAAAGTGGGTTATTTTTATTCTCCTAGTTTGCAGGCAAATAATTTTTACCTTTACGGTACGTAATGCATTGAGTAACCCATAAACAAAATCAAAAATTTTCATAACTCCATATGTTCCTCCAATTTCTTTCTGCTGTTTCTCCTGTTACACAACATTTTTTCAGTTCTAATAATAGTATATTTCTAACCTAGGGAGGGAAAATAAAGGATCCTCAGCCGCCAGTGCAATTACCAGCCAAGCCGAAGGCGAGGTTGGTAAGCACGCGGCTGAGGGTCCTTTATTTTACTTCCCGTGGTTAGAACGCGATTTTCCGTCTCGGCGTAGGCGCAAAGTCAGAGTTACCTCCCGCGAAGCGGGAGGGAAATGTAACTTTGCGCCCGCCGGGACGGAAAATATTTTTCGTCCCTTATGTGTGGAAAGTTCGACTTTGTTCTCGCGTCTCCGGGAAGAAAGTTGCGCTTTATTCCCTAGAAATTATGAATTACACCTGTCAATTGTTTTTCGTGTCACTCGTTAACCTGTATCATCGAACTAGAAATCCCATAGAAATACAAAAAACGAAATTGGATCTGATATTCTCAGTGTTTTTAAATGTGCGATATTGAGTAATAGAATATTACGATCATTCTCAATTCCCATTGGTTGAAATTCGTGACAACGAGAAAATGAGTTCAGAAGATTCAGATAGTCATGACGAATCCGATGTCGAAGGATTTGATGTTAAGAATGCAGCAGCAGGAATCGTGGAGGGTTTAATTCGTGACAAATCCGCGGAGAAATACTGAACGTGGTATGAAGATTTCCAGAATTGGAGAAAAACGAATAAAATTGGATCTCTTGAAGAGGGAGTTTTTCTTGTCTATTTCAATGAATTATCTCAAATTTACAAGCCATCGACGCTCTGGAGTCGTTGGTCGATGTTGAAGAGTACGATGGACCTTCACCACGGCATCGACCTCAATTCATTTAACCGATTGAAAGCATTCATGAAAAAAAAGGCAAAGGATTCAAGAGTAAGAAATCCAAAGTGTTCACTGCCCCTCAAGTAACTCAATTCTTGGATCAAGCTCCGGATGATATCTATTTAGCAGTGAAAGTAAGTGTAAAATAAATTGAAGATTAGTAAATAGAGATGAATAATGCGAAATCCAACGATTTTTCTCTAATTTTTTTCAGTTTCCTCATTTTTTTCTCCTTCACATTGAACTCTAAAGAAAATTTGGCAATGAAAAATGAATAATATAATATAAAATTTATTTCAAAGGTGGCCTTGATATTTGGGATTTCTGGTGCCATGAGATCCGGTGAATTCTGTCCCTTGACCACGAATGACGTCGAGGACACTGGCTCGAGACTTATCGTAACTGTTCGTGAAACAAGAAATTACTACCCTCGATCATTCGTCATTGAAAATCAGTACTACGAAACAGTCAAGAAATACATGAGTCTACGACCTAAGGACCAGGGTACTAACAGATTTTCCCTAAGATTCCAAGGAGGTAAATGTACATGTCAGAGAGAGATTGCGTTGTTTTTGGGGTTACCAAATCCCCAGGAATTCATGAGACGTCGTTTTCGCATACTTGCTGACGACCTTCCAGCAATGCCCATTCCAGCAAATCAGTGATGACTGAATCTTTTCGTATTTCTCCCCAAATTTTGTTTTCCAATGTTTGCGTTGTGCTTATTTGAAAAATGAATAAAACTGTCTTTTTGAATGCAATACTTTTGATGAATTAATGCCAAAGAGGTTATTGTTATACTTTGAATTTGCTAATTTATTTATAATTCATTTATTTATTACTCATCTCATTTCTCCCTCATTTTGATTTGTTCATTTGTGTGTTTATTGATACTGAATGGATCTCATGCTCAATTTCATCATGACGTTTCCTGTAACCTCTCACTGAATTTTTCTTTCATTATTAATTTTGTCGAACTTCCCACCAAAAGGGGCGAAAAATAGTATGTGCACCTCGGGAGGTAAGGAGGACATCCTGACTCGCGTGTGATTGCCCTCCTTTCCTCCCTCGGTGCACAATGTACTATTAAATTTAACTTCTTATCGTTTTGCCTTTCTTTCAAATATTCAAGACTAATTTTTTCATCGGAAGTTTTAAATTTTCAATGTTTCAGTTCTTTTTTTTCCCTCTTTTAATTGATTAAATTAATAATTTATCTCATTTAGAGTTCCCAATAATGGTTGCCTTCTCTACTCAATTTTGCGGTTTTCTTTTTCTATCTCAGCGATTTCTCATTTGGCCTAGTGACTTTTCATAAATTATTCGCAATTATAATTTTGTCAGTAATTGAAATAATTACCCGTCACACCAGTGTACCTGATAAAATTCTCGGAGTTTTGGCTTTCTTGCAAGTACATACTTAACTATGTTCATTCAGTTTTCGCGGATTAAAGTATATTTGAACACATATGAATGTGCGCTCGGGTTTCGTCAAACACCTTCGGGCATATACGCCTCCAGGTTGTCGTTGGGGGTAAAATTAAAAAAATATTTTTTGTCACTGCTGCTATACGTTCACCTCGTGCCCAAAATCGCCTTTTCGTTTATTTGAAAGCAGAAACTGTTTTTGTTTACTTATGAACGAAAAAAGGTAAAGTTCGCCACTCGTTAAACGTAACATCACTGGCAAAAATATAATTCCCCACATGTGAGACGGAGATTTTTCAATTTGCATGATTGGCATCATGAAATATTGATTAGTGTGACATTTTTATGGCTATTTCGATGGAATACGACGGTTACATAATATTTATGTCACAAAAAACAATCGAGGAGTGTAATCAGAACATTTTATCAAATCAAAGGACTATGTACTTTGCATCAACGTTTTTTAGTAGTCGGAATCTTCCCCCCCCCCCCCC